AAAAAAAAAAAAAAAAAAAAAAATCGATTTTTCGACTCCTGCCGCCAAATTTAAATTTTGCTTGTTTTTTTTGTGACATTTGCTCCTACGTTTGAGCAATGTTGTCAAATGAACGGAGAAACAGGGATTAGAATTTAAAAAAAGGGCTCGTCATTCTTCGGAAAGGCGAATGACATTTGATTTTCATCGAGTTTGTTCTTGCTGTTGTTTGGAAAATCATTTTCACGCTTTATCGGTTTAAGCTACTCTCAGCAAGGAGTTTTAAAATTCCAAATCACTTTGTTTAGACTTTTTCGCTCTGCTTAAATTGTTCGTTTTTCTTTCCTGTTTTCCCTAAAGCAAATGCATGTCAAGTTTTTTACTCAAGTTTTATAAGTCCAGTTAGTTGTGCCGCTAACAACCTAAATCATTCTCATTGTGAGCATAGCCACACACTGCCTAGGATAAGTTACACAACAGAAATGAGCCGAGGTAAAGAACCGATACAACTTTATAGATGCGTGATAGCTTTGCGCGTGAGAGTGTTTCGTCGACATTCTAGCAGTGAGGAGAAAACAAAAATTATGCCACAGTTATTCCATTATGACGATTATAAATGCCACTACTAACGAAATATCGGAAGTACATGCATACATAGATTTGTAGAAAGGGAAAAACTGGGCCGGACCTCGGAAATTCTATTCATTGTTCTTTTGGTAAGCCAAAGGTAAGGACAACAAAAAAGACATCCACTAACCAGAGATCTTTTCTTGGTGATGCCCTAATTTTCGGGAACAAGCTGAAAGAAAGTACCAGAAAACCCGCGACTGTCAATAGTTTCAAACGTATAGCACGGAATAATCTGTCAGTTATTATTTGGTTAATATATTTCAGAATAAAAACTAGCGACAAAAAACGACGTTTCGATCTCCCTAAGGTCATTTTCAAGTTGTAGAAAAAGCGAATGAAATATACATATATAAGTACAAATTAGGGCGTGAGAATGTCCAACGATAAAATTTGTAAATACAAGCGCTAAAATGTAACTCCTAAACAATAAAATACTTGTATTTGCATATTTTATTATTCTCACGTCCTAATTTGTACTTATTTATATACATTTCATTCGTTTTTTCTACAGCTTGAAAATGATCTCAGGGAGATCGAAATGTCGTTTTTTATCGCTAGTTTTTATTCTGAAATGTGTTTCAAAAAACTACTTATAAGAATTTTAATATATTTATTATTTTTATTAATTCAACTGTAATTCTGTTTGAACTTTTCACATTACTATAGGCTTCCAACAGCATATAAGTTTTTAGATCTATTGTAATTTTTAAATCTAATTTTTAGCTGAAATTTGTAACTTAGTATTGGAAATCCCCCATCGATAATACTAATAAATCACCATATTGTATTAATTATATTGTATTTTGTTGTGTTGTATTGTTGTGTTGTGTAGGTGTACGTGTTGAGTTGTTGTGTTGTATTGAGATTGTTCTAAAATTTGTCACTGTATTCGTCACCCATGCGGGAAGATGGTTTAGCCGTTATAACGAATAAAAGCAAATCACACTTTCTGTCACATTGACAACTAATATTGACGGGTCGTTTTGACATATAGATGCGCTCTTTATGAAGCTTGCATATGAACCTGATAGCTCAGTATTATTCAGTCAATCATGTTTAAAATATAATTGGTTGAACGAACAGATGTACACAACTTGTTTAAGCAATGTCGCTTTTACTATTTACATTTACGCATTGCAAAATTGACTGTGGCTCAAGCTGTGTTTGTCATAATAGTTTAAGATTCGCCCTTGTGATAGTTTCATGCACTTCTGTACGTATTGTTGCCTTTAAGAACTGGTTTCCTTTCTCATCTCAGTCGCAAGTTAGTAAGTATAGCTTGACTAACAGGTAACAACTTTTACTTAAACTCGATTGTTAATCAGAAAAACATTTTCGGAATCACTTCAATAATTGAAACCTGGCGTTAGCGTACGAAGTAAACGTAAATCCTTGCGTGAATGAGATTTAAAAAAAGAAATTAAGTCAGTTCATTTTCAGCCCACAAAGAAAAAATGGTTCGTTTTTTTCCGCGCAGTTCCGTACTGCAGTTGCATAACATTAAGTTGCAAACGGCTAAAGAGATGAATATATCTGCAATTAAACTGAACCGTACCCATTAACAAAAACTCAGTAAGACACCCATCTGCTCTGTAAACGGTTTTATTGATAAACAGAGAGGCAAACACAAGTGACGTGACTACCTCTATAGGTTTTCTATTATTTTCCTTTGAATCAGTTTTGCATGACCACAGGATGTTCAAAGTCACCAACTACGATATTTCTCACCCGCAGAGTAAGCTGTTAGATCAATTAAAAAGGACTCAGCAGAGTTCCCTGTACTATAAACATTAGCCCGGCGGTTTGTCTCGTGCTTGTACGTTTCAACTGTGATTCAATAGTCTAGGTTAAAGGTACCACACATCACCTCGCAAGGCTTCTAGTTTTGTTGCCACCCTTTGGTCTAAGTGGTTAAGAATTTAAAACATCAGTTCCCGTGGTTTAAAAATTGTTACATTAAATATTGGAGAGCCGTAGACGCTTGTATTATCCATGCCAGTCTGTTTTGAATCGCTTGAACTGGAAAACGAAGCACTCGGAAGTCAAAAACGTCACACTGAGAATTCGAAACAAAGCGGCCAGAGTAAAAAACAAACAACTGGGACTCAGAAGCATATTACCCAATACTCGAAGAAAAAAAATCAAAAGTTCCCAAAATAAAACAAAAATATTGGAAATGAATTGTGTGCCACGCCACATTTTAACAAAGAGAGCATCTTCGGTTTTAAGATCTGGCCATTACAAACTGACTGAGACATCCCTCTATCTCGGCTGTTCCTTGATTCGTTGACCATTTCGTTTCATTTATTGGGTTCCCCTTTCAGATGACACGCGTCCAAATCGAACTCTTCTTCGTTTTCGATTGCCTCGTTTTGGCCTTTACTCCTTCCGCACCTTTCACGGCACTCAATTTTTTTCTTGATAAAGCAAGTTTTCTCCGCAGGTGATAATATACTCCATAAAAGTAAATGTCATGGAATTTGTCACAGAAAGTTTTTGCGGAATTCCCCGGTAAATTATGATTCATTCTTTCTTGTTAATTAACTTCTTACGTTCAAATTTGCAGGACAGACAAGAAAGATGCGGGTAGACATGATGCCGTCGGTCAAACATACAATTCTTATGTGTTGGTGGCTGAAAATAGCAATTACTGGAAGTGCTAGTCCTGAGGGTAATGTAATCTTTACATCAAACGAACATAAGGTCACTTTAACAATTTCTTCCTAGGGGTTTTTCCGATTTGGAAAAGCAAAGTCGAAATTCGAACGAGGAAAAATTAGTTACAACAGCGTAAGATCTTGAGAAAAGCGAATACCGCTGGAGAGGGCAAAATAAAAGGATCGCTTGAGGGTGTTTCTAATATAAACATCGGAGCCATATATTGAAAACAATAATCAATCAATCAATCAATCAATCAATCAACTTTATTTAGAGAGGATGACATAATCAATTAACTAAAAATTGAGAGACAAATTAGTCAATAGATCTTGTCAAGTGATAGTTTTGCTTGAATTTACAACTGAACTTGGTGCAAACTTTAGTTTACAGCTATTTCAGTTAACGTTATCTGAACATCGTTTAATGTGACAAGAACACATGATGGTCTGGGTACCTGTATATCGTAACTTTGCATATGAAACATGCATTACCGGCCTAGGAAAGCTACAAGTTAGCAGTATATTTGCAAGAAGCGTGTTCCTGTGTTTTTTTCCCTGTGAGGTCGAGTGGGTAAGAGTACTTTGTCTCTGCATGTCCGAGGAAAAAGAAAAACTACCAAACCACATTTCCCATGTTGTGGTATCTTATAGGTATTGAGCCCGAGCAGAAGCTTCACTTCTACCCATATTACCTGTCGGTTTTGATGCTTTAGGTCGAGACTTTGATCTGATGACGTTATTTGGAAGTTGCTGTATTCAAGAATACGACAGAAAACGCGGAGGCGCAAGAAAGAACTACGGGCTTAATATAGCTTTGTTTATCGCATCGCTTATAATTGCTTATAACCTTATTGCTCAAATATTTCTTTGCCGCATTGCTTATAATCACGAGACTGACAAGTATCTGATTCGTGTTCTACTTTCACAGGAAACTGCACATTTGAGAATGACTTGTGTGGATGGATTAACGAGAAGAAAACGGACGTAATGGACTGGAGGAGGTATAAAGGGTCCTCCCCCACAAGGTTTACCGGACCGTCTCGGGATGTTTCAGGTGGATGATCTTTCTGTTATAAATTTAGATGGATTGGGAGCTCATTACTGAGATTGAGTATATATGATATATTTAACAATTATTCCACGAGTTCGCGTTCGATATGAGATGATAGATAGCCAACGAGGTGCGAGGCGCCGAGTTAGCTATAATCATCTCATATCCAACAGGCGCGAGTGGAATACTTGTTTTATTAAAACGCCCCTGAAATATTTAACAAATAAAGAAGCCTAAGTGTGTGTTCTCAAATGTCCGCAGGGTTTTATCACAGTGTAATACACGGCTAAGGCTTCTTCATTTGCTTTATGATATAGATTTCTCTATGTTTTATACTTATTACGTATTCATAGGTTTTTGACCAACCAGAGCGCGCGCAGGGTCCTATCTATATTACAAAGAAAACTAAAATAAAATGAAATAAAATAAAAACGCCCCGAAAAATTACGCGTACGCTTACCATATTTGCAGAGCATTGTATAATAATATTGCACATAATTACCCAAGATGGCCAAGCCAACGAAAACTCTTGAATTGCATCATCCAATGATCCAGCTTTCGACTGGCAACTGACAGAAGCAATTATGAGCTGCTCTTTCTACAGGTTTACCGACGCAATAAACTCACGCGGAATGTTGGGAGAACACTCGAAAAGATTGGAAATGACAAACTTTCGAGTGTTGTTCCAACAACTTAACTTTTAACTATACTATATTTTAATATGACGTCCCTTCCTTGAAAAAAATGTCTAATTCTCCCATTACACATGAAACAAGGAATATGCCTCCTTTTTTTATAAAACGTTAGAACGTTTTTTTGACAAAATTTGTCAGCCAAAAAAGTTGGTAAAAGCGCATGCTGTCAACAGATTGAAAATATGACAAAACCTAAAAGTACGATAAACAGTAGGCCTACTCTGGGGCCTTAAGTCGCCTGAATTTGCTATCGGTTATGCAATGTTGTAAAGGTTTCCACCCACTCAAATTGCCCCTGTATAAGGATATCAGACTTAATAAACTTCATGTTAAGGTAAACTCCACTCCAACCCTAAGGAGAAGGCACGGTGGTCCAATGGTTGGTACAATGGACCCCCCCTATTGGGATCATTGCATCGAGTTCGTTCTCTCACAGTGCCTCTCCTTGCTCAGATGTATAAATGGGTACTGGTTAGGGGAAGGGGGTGCAGCAGAGGTAACTTCGTTAGATTATTAATCGATCTGAGGTGTGCAATTCATAAGTGTGCTTTTGATATTTTTTACACTCGTTCCCAATGCATTGGAACCATCTAAAACTCCTCTTAAGAAGCTGAGGATCCGGCAGTTACGTACTGTCAAAGTCATGGATTCCTTATACATGAAAAACCCCATATTATAATAGTCCTGCACTTGTCTACGCCATGAACATGTCGACAAAACTTAAATAGGAACGACAATCTGATGTATGCTCTCTCACAGACAGCTTCTTATTTTTATTAAGTTTTAATTATTTTCTTGTATTTCATTCTAAAAGAGTTAATAGAAAGATGGCACTTTTTGTTATCACCAGGAAATATATTAAATATGAAAAAAGATAACAAATGACTATACTTCAATTATCTCATTTATTACTTTTTGTGAGGTATTGCTGAATCAAATCTTTCGAGAACCTACATACGCAAAAACAGTGAGAGGTGTTCCGGATCATCAAGATAAAAAGACAAAAAGAAGAAAGAATTCTAGAGTAAGGTTAAATTCTTTCTGGTCACTTTTACACCGAGCAGTAAAAATGTGGCCGTCCAAAGTCAATTGAACCGAACTGAGGCTACACTCTAGATACTTTACTTACCCAGTGTAAAAGAGTGACAAAAGTGGGTTATTTCTCCCGCATAAATCATTATTTGTATTTTACTTTTACATTCGACCAACTGTAGCCGTTTGAACTTCCAGAACTTCGTAACTGGACGAACCAACTTGCAGCATAAATGTTTATCTATTTTGACCGTTAAATTCTTTTCGTACATTTCATCTTCGTCAGTTTGATGAAGCCAGGTAATCACATCATCTTATACACTTTACGTGGACTGTGCTACTGTTACTGTCGCAGGTATAGAAAATTCTTTGTGATCAACTCTCAGCAAACATAAGTGGCCGTCAGTCCAATATTTTGATCACCTGACTTCGTTTGGTCCCGTGACTCAAGTGCACGCGAGGCCGCTCGCAAGTTACTCCGACGTGCATTTACAGACCAATACAGACAAATAACTAATTTATCTGGGCAAAACGAAAACAGATCGCTAAACTAATTCTCTCTGCAAGTTGAATTGGTTTATTTGAAATAAATGTACAATCGGGAACGCTTGTCGGGAGAGCTCGATTTTTTGGTGGCACAGGCCGAAAGGGACCTAAACCCGCGAGATGTCTCCTCATTTTGACGCATGGAAACCAGTTAGCAGCGCAAGGGTGTCCAGGAGAATCAAAATGGCGGAGACCAGTGTGCCTGGTATCGATATATCAATATTTCGTTGTGACTTATTATTTTCTGGACATTTGTAATGTGCCAGTTGGAAACTAGGGAAAGCTTGGAAGGCTTATTTCCTGGTGATTTGATCAACGGGATAAAAAAACTTTCTAAAAGATTTGGTTCACTTTAAGTGGGACATCAAAGTTTCTGGAGCCAAACAAGTAGTTGGAGAAATTTGCAAGGAAGTGTTCCTGGGAATCGAAGGATCTTAGCATGCGGTACTTATTATGGTACTGGGATGTTTAAGGTCTGACTGAGGCAAGAGAGAAGCAAATCGATTGGGTCCCTGAAAACGACTGAGCAACTTTGGGAAGGCATACCATTTGCTAGACTTCCGTGCCAACATTGACACTGAGTGGAGATGCCAAAAATATGGCAGATAAGTTCGCCGAGATAACCATTTCTTATAATTTGGGAAGCATTGTAAAATAAATGCATATAAATAGGCTTTATTAACCCTTTGAACGAACAAAATTGAGAACGGTTAATGACAAAAAAAAAAAAAAAAAAAAAAAAAAAAATTGGCTTATGCGCATGCCCGGAATTGAAAATTTGCTCAATTTTGTACCTAATCCTCGAAAAATCTCTCCTTTTGGTAAAAAAAAAAGCTTTCTTAGCAAAACTTAGGCTTATTTAGCGTCATGGCAGCTAAAAAACGTGACTAAACGGTTAAAAACGGTATTTTTTGGCGAAGGTTTGGTATTCAAAGGGTTAATTTTAATTAATTAATTCCTTGTTGTTTGAATCATGGAAAATATATTAATACAGTTTTATTTAAATCAAGCTAAATCATTTCTCTTTTCTTAAATTTAAAATTTTTGACATTATGAATATATTTTTTTAAATTTTGTTTGATGTTGGTTTTTATTGTGACATCTTCTCTAATATTCAGGCTACCTTGTTGGTATCTATTGTTTTTATTACTCTTATAACAATAACTGTTGCAGTAATTCTATCTAGGTATCTAGGTACTTTTTGTAGTCTAAAATAGCTTGAAATCTGGATATTTGAGACTATGGTGACTCATGTGAATACAAAAGCAAAAAAAAAAAAATGATTAGTGCAATATTGGTTTATTGCAAGAGATTTTGTAGATAATTTTAAAGCATATAGAGAGAATGTTGTACAGTTTAGGGTTATATCACTAGAGTGAAATGAAGTCGCCTCAAGGCGCCTAAAATCACCCAAAGTCGCAATGTTTCTTCGGCCAATTTTGCTTAAGTCGCCTTAAGTCGCTTCAAATCGTCCAAAGTCGCCTTTAGTTACGGCTACTTAAGGCCCCAGAGTAAGCTTAACAGTTTTATAATAAAGAGAATATATTTGAAAACGACACCCTCAAATGTCTATTTTTTTTATTGCAGGCAACGGCTATTATATCTATATAGAATCCTCTTCTGGCTTACCAAGAGACAAGGCGAGACTTCGGAGCCCTCCCATGAAAGGAAAGCAATGCATGACATTCTATTACAACTTCTACGGTACAACCATGAGTTGCGTTGTTGTTTATGTTCAAAGGTCCGACGGAACGGAGAGGGTCGTATGGCTCAAGTCTGGTCACTGGGGAGACCGCTGGATCAAAACGCAAGTCGAGACGAGTGACAAGACAGCTGAGTACCGGGTTGGTTTTTGTTGTAAAATTTCGTAAATGCCTGCTCGAAAAAGTTCCGCGGTGAAGTTAAGTGCCAGACTCAGTTAAAAGGCCGTTGCCAGTAACCTCTATGATACCTATGTAAGATAGTCCGTGACTTTTCGGGAGCTTTCCGAGCAAGCTCACGAAGCGAGACCGAAAATACCTCGAGATTTGCTCGAGTTCTCTTAATTGATTTTCACCTTCAAAACGCGAGTTTTAATGAAAACAAGACGATCCAAGATCGTAAGTCGGGCTGCGGCTAGAGGGCTGCTAAGAGTGTTGATCATTTGCGGTGCGCAGCGGTTCTAAAAATAGCATGTGTGATATGTACATGCTAATAGATGCATGTCTCAAAGAAATATCATGAAACTGTAATCGTATTGATATATATATATATATATATATATATATATATATATATATATATTTAGTATAAATCTACTAGCGTTCTATCACGAATGCCGTTCTCTGATTGGCTACGCTACTCACTATCTATTCTGTGATAGATAGTAAGTAGCGTAGCAGTCTGCCCTTGTTAACAAAATGACGGCCGCTACTTGGCGTTTTCGAAGTGTCTGTGAAGAGGATTTAGATAAAGTTTTGAACGACTAGTAGATTTATACTAAAACAACTCCCCAAACGGGTCGCTTGTGAAAAGGAGAAAACACTACTTAGCGGGAAACAAACAAAAGATGTCATGACGGGCTCAACATGTCAACACGAGGTCAAGTTACAGCAGGTCGAGGTCGAGTTACAGCAGATTTTGTGAACGTTTCTCGACGTGTTTCTGTTCGATGTAACTCTACATTTTGCTCTGATGCATATTGAACTTATTCCGCTGATTTTGCTTCGCTTAACAATACAGAGAAATTTCACATAACAAACTTTTGACTGCGAACATGTGTGCGAGGGCGGCACTATTTGAAGTGTCATACCTCATTTGCATATTTCATAATGGCGGATATTGAAAATTGGCTTATTTCAGGAATCTCTTGTTGTACAAATACAAAAGATCGTAAGGAAATCAAGTGACAGAAAGTTGAAGCCATCCTTTAACATGTCTCAGGAAATTTCCTGGTCGGATTCATTGCGTACCGCGGGCATTTTTGGCACAATTGTTTGAAGTACCAACGAACCATTTCAGAGCAGCTGTGGGGTGCACTTGAAAAAAAAAATCATATTTTATTTGTAAGGAAACGTTATGAGCTGGTTTTGCTGCCATTCAATTGATTGAAAGCTTGTGATGAGCTGACTCCGTAACGGCACTAATTATGACAATTTTGAAGGTTTTGTTCTAGAAAATACCGTAAACCGTTTCAAGTTGATTTCTCCCAGACAAGCAGGAATTTTAACAAAGGAAAATCCTTGTCATATGTATGGGACTAAGGCCTACGAACGGACAAAGTATGGGCGGAATTGAATTTTGAGCTGTGTCCGCGATTTCTTTGATCCTTGCTGACATTTACTCTTAAAGTTGTAAATCTGGAGGTCCCTAGATTAATTGCTGCTGCAGTGAGTGAACATGAAGCGAACGAACGAGGCAGCAGTTCTAATCGGTAAAAAATTACAATATAGGGGCATTCAACCACTTTTCTTGCAAAACGCTAGGAATTGTGGTTGTGTGCGAACGGAAGAATTGAGATGCGCTGTTTTCCATGAGCTCTCTTCGATCGATCACTCATGAAAAAGATTCATCGTTGTATTATGCTATTGATGATTTTTATCTGCGTAAATCGCATCTGTTTTATAGTTTTAGCAGAGTTCCCTCTGATCAGGTGTTATTTGCGATCTGTTGGGGTTAATATTATTTTAAAAAAATCACAGATTTTCGTAGCTTCGCAAATTATCTTAAGTACCGTTTATATTTTTTTTATCTACCCAACTTTTAAATCGCACAGGGGAAGAATATACTGCCTTCCAATCTTTCACAAAAATTACGACTTGTTTTTATTAAAATCTCACTTGACTTTAACAATCTCGAACTGCAAGTCATTCCGTGACCTGAAACCTTCTGGAATGTTCTATTTCTTATGTAATATTCTAATTTAGAAACCTTGCAATAATGCTATTTAATTCCTTTGGGAAGTGTCTGGAAAATCCAGGTGTGCTAATATAAGAGCGCGAGTTTCGTTGTCCGTAAGAGAGCTCTGAAAATGTAATGAAGCTTAGTGCAGCTGAGTGCTGTAATACGAGAAGTTACCGACGATCCTGGGTTCTATATAGGAACATCCCTGCTCTGCATTGAAACTTCTTACATCCTTCTTCCCTTCGGCAGCATTTTGTACCATTTAGGTAAACTAATAATTATTAATTGTACTTTTCCTTTGTACTCTTGCCCTCGATATTTTACACACGACTCCGAAAACTCCTTGCTTTAAAGTGCTACTATGACGCAATTCCAATCTTTTCTTCCCAAGCCATTTTAAAACATAGACAAGTAGTCTGTGCGAGAAGGAAAACGCTGTTTACTATTTTCAAATATCTCTATTCGTTCTAGAGATATTCAAGGTTTTAAAATATGCAAATTAGCCAAGTGATAATTCCATAAGCCACCTTTGGCGTTCCATTTTATTTTGTTTGCCAATGGTGCCTCATCTGTATGATTCTTAATTTGTAATGGCCACTTTTAAAAAGGCATGTTGACTAGCATACGAAACGTCAAGTCCTGTGTTACAATGCGTTGAAATACAATGTTTATCCTCGTTGTTTGTGCTATATTCTTAATCAAGCTACGATGGCCTAATAACAAGAGTTTATATGATCCAGCAAGCATAAAAATATGTCCCGTCGAGTTCGTGGACTTGTTTTAAAATGTTTTTTCGAGCTGAAAATCACTAAAATATTGAAATCAGGTTGGAGGGGACTGGAAAAGAGTGAGTTGCCATGGGAACAGAATTTTTTTTTATAGCCGTAGGTGTGTTGTCTGTAGAACTATAAGCCTACCAAGTTTCAGTGGTCTCTGCTGCAAAATGAACGAGTTGGCTGTATTATCTACTTGATGTAATATTGGGTTGAGTGTATGACGTCATCAGTCCTCTCATGCATACACTTTTCACAGTTTTCAAACGTAAATATCTCCGGAACCAATGCAGATATTTTTAAACGGTAAACGGCGCTTTACATTCATATTTTTTTCAGGTAATTGTAGAAGGAATAAAAGGAAGTTCATACTTCGGCGATGCAGCATTGGACGAGTTTCGCTTCACCAGTGGATCTTGTACACAGGGTTTGTGATTGTTATTTTTTTGCGTTGAAGCCAAATGACTGAGCTATATTGGTACATACATACATACATACATACATACATACATACATACATACACATACATAAACTTTATTTAAGCTCGAATTTCACAGTAGCTTGACAAGCAAATTGGTCTCAACAACATTGCCGTTGTTTGAAGGGGAACCACATTACATTCCTTATTTCGAAAGTCAACAGAAAGGGATTCCCATAAGAGATGATTACGATTTTTAAAAACGATTTCCGAAGTGACTGAATACCAACGAGTGACGAAATGTGATGATCACAATAAAAAAAGTCCATTCACCTTCGCATTTTGACTGGTTCATAGTTATCATCTATTGGAGGACAGACGTATTGATGACTTTATGTACAGGGTTTTTTTTGTTTCTTTATTATAATATATAGATTTAGGCCAGCCTAAAAGCGTAGCTCCTGGGCCGGGTTGTTCAGAGCCCGATTAAGCTAACCCAGGAAAAGGTAGAATTTTTATTTGAGTTTTGTAACTTTGCGGTGAGGTTTTCTGTGTATTGTTTGGCCTTCTGTTTTGAGTTTTAATAATCACCATGTACACAAAACAAACCAGCAAAAAACATTTGCATAGATGAAAAAGTTATAATTCGGTTAACTTTTAATCCTGGGTTAGCGTTAACCGGCTTCCGAACAATCCTGCCCTACTTTCAACAAGTTGACCTGACATGAGCCCGCGATCCAATCGAAAATTAGCACTTGATCAGCGGTCAACTTACGTGACAGCTTACGTAAATACGTAACCTCGATGAGCTGTAAACTTGATCCCGCGATATGGTCACGTGATACTGGTTGGCGGATACCTTGTTTTGACAGGTGTCAATTGATCATAACATGGATGACCAATATTAAAAAAGTACACGGTAAACCAAGCCTACATGTTTCTGTCAACCTGTTTTTGGAGTATGGCTGCCATGTTGCGCGACTCCGTCGCCGACGCCGTCGCGCGTACGCGCCCACGAGCAACACCGCTAGCCATTATAACCATGAGAAAATTAACTCATGGATTTCCTCTTCTTTCCTATATGAGTATGGGGCTCCGGTTGGCGGCTCTTCGTTGTTGTGCGTCCGTTCAGTAACAGATTAAGAAGACGTCAAAATGTGATGAGATGATCAGTGAGTGACACACTCCCCCAACGGCTCGTATGCCATTTTTGTTTTCCCTTCCACATTTTGATGTCCGCTGTGATCAATTACTGAACACACTTACGAAAAGAGGCTAAAAAGCAAACAAGGAAAACAATCAGCTCTTCGAGGTGGAGAAATTGATCATCAACGGTCATGCTATTTGTTTGTTAAGCTGAACATCGTCACTGACAAACCAGAGAATTGACTCACTTACTTTCTAGCTAGTCACTAACTAATTTGCTAAAAGCTGATACACCAGTTGAGAACAAACGCTTCTCAACGGATGCCAACAACTGCGGGCATTCGCAAATGTTGATATTATTTTAGAAGACTTACAAGTGACTTTCGCGGCATAAACAAAGCCGACGGATGTATCTCGAAAAAACGAGTTTTTTCACTTACAACACGCGGATCGAAACTTACTAGAACCGACCAATGACTGTTAAAAAACTTAACGCGAGTTAAATATCAGTTGGATCCTGTTCGACAAGTATAGAAAACATTGCGGCGCCAGCTAAAGTGAACTGTACATGTCCGCAATAAGCAGGTGTCCGTGTTGAAAGCAATCCGTTAGAGCGAGGTTCGACTAAATTTTCAAATTATACTGTCGTTTCGTTTCCATAAAATTACAACCATTAGCAGCTGCAAGGAGTTGAACATGAAAAGGCCCCGTTTATTCCTTACTTGCCCATGTATTCATTCATTTTCTCAGGTCTTTTCTGGGCGTAGAGCTTGTAGACTACTATAGGATCTTTTTCTGATCCATCAGCGTTTGGTCTGTTTCCTTTTCCTTTTTTCTTTAACTCTTTCTGTTTGGACAGGAGGACTTTTCGTGTTTTCTCAAATACGAGGTCATTCATGATACTGGCAGAGTAGCTGTTCTTTTTTAGATGTCGTTCAAAACTTGCCAATAGAATTCGGAGCGAAGAAGGCTCATAGTCTTTCCCATCTTTGGTTCTGACCGAAATGATGAACTCGCAGGTGTATTCGTTTAACTCGAATGCTGGAATTTCTTCAACTTATCTAAGTTCATTCCTGGTTCCTAAAAAGGTTTGCAAAAGTTTTACATCTCGTTGTGTTTTTTGAAATGTGGCTTTGTTTTCTTGTTCTGCAGTAAAATTGTCAACTGAACCGACGTCCACAAACCTTTCCGACATCTTGAAAATAAAAAGGCGGCTTGCCAGTTTTCGCGTCAAGGATGACGTGGCTTGCCGTACGATCACTTTTCACTATTGAAAAACATCGTTCGTCCAATCAGACGCCGCGAACGATGATTTTTCATTAGTGAAATTTCATCGTTCGCGTCGCTGATTGGGTGCGACTAAAAACAGAACGATTTTTCATCACTGTCATTTCTGTGGATGAATCTCAGTACTTATAAAATAAAAAGCGATACTACATACATCAAAACATCTAATAACATATATATATTATACAGTTGATACAGGCTTTAAAAATGTCATTGTCCAGAGGTCAGGGACTGGGGAATAACACACATGCATACAAGAGATTTATTATCCGACTACTGTAGTCAATAAAGTTAGCAAGGAAAGAGGGAGAGTGTGACAGTTTTGCGTGTGCGCGCTGACCTGTACGGCAAGCAGGTTTTCTACTGTATAAATAACTGTACAATATCGCTGTATATTTGTACTGTTATTTGGACGGTATTCGCTGGAGTTGGATAATAATGTCATTAATCATACCAATTACAATTTCCTCAAATGTGATTGGTGCATAAACTGCTGTATTTTGCTCTAATTAATCTGCAAAGTTGTAATCGGACAGTGTACTCGGACAGTTGGCTGTAATCGGACACCTGTGATCGGACAGTTACACGAGCCAATCATTTTAAGTCCTCTCCACTAAATCCACCAATCACAACATTGATTGCAATCACTATAATAACCACTGACTGAGACTGACTTTGTAAAATTGTGGAGGTTTAGTCTCTGGTGACTGTTTTGAAAGAGACTTGACAGCCATTTTGCGAGCTGTTCTCCA